TTGCTACAACTTTAAAAGCACAACTACAATGACGTAGGAAAATACCCGAACAAAGCTGAATACCATACATGTAAGTACCCGCGAAAACATTCTCTGTCCACTGTGAATGTGAATTTTTACACATACAAACACATACTTTTTGGCTACCCCATATCGTGAATGTCTTTTTTTTTTTTTTGCAAAATGCCCATGAAAATATGCAAAACTGAGCAGTGTTTAAATTATGTTTATATTTAACTGATCTACAGTAAATGAATATTATGGAGGAGGAAAAGCATTGTTAAGGTATTGCAATTTTGAACATGAAAGGTGAGTTGGCATGTTAACTATCAAGACTTTATTGCTAAGAGCAAGTTCAGTATTTTTCAGTTTAAAAACAAGATAACATGCAGTAGTGTCTGTTAATTATACATTTATATGAAATGATGCCTATCAATGCAGTTAAATGAATCACATGAACAATAAATTGAAGATAAATTGACTTAGTTGAACTTAAATCCCATTGAAATCAGCAAGAATTATGATAATAATTCAATTGAATTACACTGATATTGAGAATTAACTTGGTCTGAATTCAATTTTGTTGCATCATTCTTTTTACTCAATATTGCTATTATTTTTTGAGTATAGAGATGGATAATTGCAGTTTCCAAAACCCCTTACTGTAACCCATGGAAACCTTTTTGATCATGATTTTAGAAAACTATTCCTTAGTTTTCTAGAATCTTAACATTTTGAGGTGAGAAACAAGAAAAAAGAATTATAAAACTTACATTTGCATAACTTAGATATATCCAAAGGGCACCCCCCCCCCAACCTCAGTGTCCCTAGAGCAAGGCTTTTGCTCACATGTAAGATTAGACCATGCCCACTTTGCCATTCCAGCTATAGAAACTACATATGTTGTGTCCCTTGGTCCCCCTTAGGTTGCCAATTCATGTGTTAATGGATTTTCTAAAAAATTATGCTTTCCAATTCTCTACTACAGTAAGCCTTGGTTCAATAAACATTCATTTGGCACAGTTCAAATTTACACAATCTGCAATAAAAAAAAGTTGAATCAGTAAACCAGGTAACCAAATAGTACATGTAATCAGAGTTCTGCTCTGCTTCCACAGTCCTGCATTCATTTTGGTTTGCAATGCCTAGAATGTGCTTTTCACTATCGCATGTCTTCTGTTTACTTTCAGTAAAAAGATGGGTAGAAAACCTTATTCTAAGAGACCTTCAGCCTAGTGATTACATTGGAATTATGCTAAACCAATGTTCATTAAATTGAGCGTTACTGTGGTAGAAAATTGGAAACCCTACCCTTTTTGTTATACCCTCCTCCATAGTCCATTAAATTACAGTTTTCTGTATACTTTATCTGATTATATTTAACTAGAGCTTAAAGTTAACCCTACAGTAAAGCTTGGAATGAGTTATAACAGAGCTCCAACCCTAGATGGACAACTCACCCAAAGCTGGTGTCCTAACAAAATTGTGCATGCACTACCCCCATTTTTCCTGCACTACACAACAGTAGAGTCTTTAGTTTGCTGCTGTAAAGAGCAAATAAAGACCAAAGATAAACGTGGAATTACAACTGAAAATCACTGTCTTATTATGAAACCCACATTTTAGGAATTGGGCAAAAGAATACCTCTTGTTGGTGGGTAGTTTCAACAATAAAGTATAATATACTCACTATGTGTTCTCATTAAATATTCTGCAAGTTTAGGACTATTTTAAACATTTGTTTTTTCTTTATTCAATAGATAAAGGGCCAGGTAGTAGCAAATGAACAAGCATAGAAAAGCGTAGAAAGCTCTAGTGGTAAATTTATATAGTTTGAGCATAGATTGAAAATTTTCAGATTCTTTTTCTTCTACCTTATAAGGGCTTTGTTTGTTTGTTTGCAGTAGGAATCAAAGTATTATTTGTATGCCTTGTAGAAGACTTATTTGAAAGTTTGATTACTAATTTCAATACAAAGTGTAGCTAAGTATCTTTATAGAAAAAGATAAAATTTCCCTATTGCAATTATACATTATTTAATCAACTTGCTTTCTGATTCAAGTACACCATTTGGGATCACCTTTATGATTTTACAGAACTATATTGTTTTGATATAAATACTTCCTAAAACTATGAAGATCAAGTTTCCAATTTTAAATTTCTTTACACTCCCAATTCTGTTCAGTTACAGATTGTTCTGTTTCCATAATTATTGACACTTTTATAAACAATGCTGAAGTTAATTTGTTAGATGTACAGAGATCATTTGTAAGACATTAATTTCATTCTTCCCTGTTTCAAATCTTACAGTGTACTATATTGAAGATAGTCATAAATGTGTTGTATTAAAGATTTGTTGTGGCATCTTAGCTTTTTTATTTGTATCCAGCATGTTTTCTATGCATGCAAGACTTAGCAGTGTAAAACTATTTTTCAAATGGGAAAACAAGATTTTTTATGGTTGTTCAGACTTTATTAAATATAAAGTGATGAATAGCAGAAAAAATAGTATGTTTGTATGAAAAAGAGATGAATATTGTGACTGCACTATATGAGAGAATATATCTATGAAAGTAGATAATATATCATTAAAGCTGGGAAGTTTGAGAGTTTTTCAGATCAGTTGTAATAAAAAGATCTAGTATGCTAAAATGAAGCATAGATCAAGTTCCAAAATTCAGTGAAATAGACAACACCAAAATAGTGAAAAGGGAAGAAGAGAATTGCGCCAGTCATCACAGCATTTCTTTGCTCAGTGATATTGCATGATGTACTAATTTCCAGAAATACAAATATATTTCTGAATCACAGATTCTTACAAGAAACGGGAGAGAATGTTTTCCTGCTTGGCTGTATATCATTGCCTCTTTCTGCTTCTATGTGGTACTACATTATTTTGTGAGTTCAACACAGGCAAGCATCAACTCCTTTTCTTCCCTACTCTTTTTTTTTCCTTTTGTCCTCCCTTTTTCCCCCTAATGCAGGTGTTCAGCATGTTTTTGGAAACATTAGTAGATTTTATCCAAGTTCATAAAGAAGATCTACAGGATTGGCTATTTGTGCTGCTGACCCAGCTTCTGAAAAAAATGGGTGCTGACTTGTTGGGATCTGTACAAGCAAAAGTTCAGAAGGCTTTAGATGTGACAAGGTAATAGATTAATGTCAGAATAAAAGTACACCTGTTTTAAACTTTCTACATTTGTATTTCAGTTTTGCATCCTTTAGAATACAATAAAATATAGCTATTAGTCAGCATATTAGAATGTAGAAAAAATGTGTCTGTTTTCACTATATTGTCTATTTTCTAACAATGTTTATATACAATATACCTTTAAAATGAATGAACCCAAATGCTGTGTTCAGTTTTAACATTTTCAGTCTTTACAAACCCATAATTTTTATATTATCACTGCTTATATAGGCAAAGTACATGTATTTCCCATTTTATGTCTAGTTTCTGAACATACTGTAAGTTTGATGAAGTGAAATTTAATTGTATTATTTCATAGGGAATCATTTCCAAATGATCTTCAATTCAGTATTTTAATGCGGTTTACTGTTGATCAGACCCAAACACCAAGTCTGAAGGTAAAAACTTATAAAGCTTTACATTCCATTCAATAATACTTTTGTCTTGTGTTATACATTCTATGTTGTTGGTTTTCAATTAGTGGGTTTTTTTATTATAAAATTTCAGACAGTCAAGCCAGCACTGCAGGACCAGCTTCGTTCTTTTTGGAGCTCCAAGGTTTTTTTTTTCTGAATTATTGCTTTTTTTAACCTATTGTGTGTAAAATTTACATTAAAATATTTCTATGCATCAATATAGTGCTACTAACCTTTGCAAGGAATTTTGAGCATGCTCTTGTAAACTTGATCACAGCATTATGTGATTGTCTTGAAACATTTGACAATGAATCCTATGAAAATTCCACAAAGTCCAACACAGTTTTAAAAAATTGTATGGCTGTCTAACATCAAGCTGGCTATGCAAGCTCCCTCTATCAAGTCTTTTCTAATTTTATGTTTGTAATTTCCCAATCTCCATTTAAAAGACTGAATAGTATCCCAGCAGAATTTCTTGCTGAGTTTTCTACAGTTGCAAAATATTTTTGCATCTTCAAAATTGGAGTCATTTGCTTTTAAGCTTTTATTATTAATATTCTATGATATTAATGATACATATTCAGACACTGAGCTGTTGCTGAAAATATGTAAAAGTTGAAATATATAAACAAAAACTATTCTCCTGAAGATGACCAGTTGGAGAAATTTCAGACTTGGGTATATATAGTATATTGTGTATGTACAGCAACTGAGACATTTTGGGAAAATAACAAGCATATATGTAACCACCATTTTTCTCTGTCTGGCACAGAAGTATTTAGTCTGTTAATTGCTTTTCACAAGATGGCACTTCTTTACTCCTTGATGCAGTGGTATCGAAATTACAGACAAAATATCATATTTCTTAAAATGCAATGTTTATTATAAGTGCTATAGAGAAATTTATATTAACTATTTTGTTACAGTGAATCTTTAGATTTTTCTGTAGATTTAAATATAAAGGAATAAAGATTTTAAAACTGGTAGGAGCTACATTGGGAGATCGATGTGGATTGGTGGTTTTCTCCTGATTAAAAAATCCCTTTAAACTTTAAGTTATATCTATGTGAATCATTGAAAGGTTATGTTGCTAATTGTAGATATGAAGATCTTTTAAAAACATTTTTATTTTACTATATAAAGAAAGAGCAACAATTTCAATGTCTATATAAACAGTGTGTTGTCTGGTTACAGATAGTTTGAGCAATAGTCATCATCATAATGCTCATTAGTAGTGATCATATAATAACAGCATTTTCTCAACATAATATTAATACTTAATTGTTAATACTAAATCCTATTGATAATAAACATATCATAATAAACCCTCATGGTAAAATTAATCCTTCACTTATAATTTTAAATATTCTAACTTCTGTTTCTGTTATTTAACCATAGATAAAATGAACCCCATGTTTCAAAATATTCCATATCTTCTCTTTAATTTCAAGTCTATCAATCTATCTATTTAATTTCAAGTCTATCAATCAATCTATTCAATCTATCCATTTCTGCACATTCTAGGTTGGTTTTTTTTTTGCTATCTTCTCAAAGATGTGAAGATATTATGTGTTTGCATTGCACAAAACTTCCAAATATATGAAAGTGCCCCATTTTTGCTAGCAGAGGCACCACAGGGTAGTGTTTTGCTATTTCCAGGCCGGGCCCATGGACCGGATCTAAGCAAGCAGCGGGCCAGATTAACCCCTCGGGCCTTGAATTTGAAACCCCTGACATAGGATATGGCGATTGCTTAACTGAAGAATCTATATTCATATAGTCCTTGGCTACAACAGTAATGAAGTCTGCTCATTAAGGTTGCATATGTGATACTTAAATGTAATTGCCTTGGGGTGGTTCAAAAGGCCTAGCACACACTAAAACCTTCCTGCCTCCCAATACCTCCTCCCCCCCACAATACCCCCATGCTCCACCTCCTGTCCCTCAAGGTCCCCACAGCTCTGTTTTCCCCTCATAGGGTCTGCATAGGCATCCCCCCATACACAACTTTTTGCAGGTCTTAGGCCTGCTTCCCACCCCACTGGACCCATTTCCTCCCTGCCTCTCATTACCCATCGTAGACCTTTTGAAGATCTTCAGAGCTCCAGACATGTAAAATTGTGGTTACTCCAAAATGGCAGCTGCTTTCTGCATGCAGCCACATGGTCCAGGGATAAAGTGGTCTTAACAAGATCTGTGCAGTTTTGCGCAAAACTTCAGAGCTTGCAGTGCTATGCAGACTGCATTAGGGAAACAGAGCAGACTGCAGGTGCATCCCAGAAGCACCTGCCATTCTTTGCAGCTGCTTCTAAGCCACACTACTGAGGGACACAGAGGGATGGAGTGGCTTGCAAAGGATGAGCTTCAGAGAGCTTCAAAATATAAAGTGCATGATGAGGATATGGAGGAGGCCTAAGACCTGCAGTGACCCAGTAGAACAGAATGAGGAAGATAGGTTGGGGGGGGATGCTGCAGGTTCCTGTTGTGAATCCTAAGTGTGAATGACAGTGTGAGTGCTGCAGCAGCAATAACTTCAAAATGGGATTTAAGTGGCTTTTAGGACATCTATTGTATATAAGGACTACTACATTGTTTTTTGAAATTATATTATTTGTGCCAAAACGGCATATTTTTGAAAATAAACTTTGTATTCTATGTTCATTATTACATTTAGCAATATTATTGTTCACACACACACACACACACACTTATTACAGAATATCTATTCTTTAAAAAGTAGCATGTTGAATTGAATTGATGATCTAGTTCACTATTCTGTTTCTTACCACAACCAATTAGAAGCCTATAGATGACTTGTATGCAAGGCCTAAAGGCAACAGTCTTCTCAGATTGTTTTACTCACTAAACTGAATTCAGATATATTTAGTGCACCCCGAAATACTTTTTATATTTTGTTGTGTTTTACTGATCTAGGTGAAATGTTAATATATATTGCTAGTCCATATATGATATGCCATACATTAAATAAATAACATCTTTATAAACATAATAAGTAGATTTTACAAACCAGTTGTAGATTTCTCCAACATGGAGCAAATTCAGACAGAAACATGTTGCAAGTAACTTCAGCAGACATGTTACAAGTGCAGAGCAGAACAGTAACTCAGTTTCTCTTTTACTTTAGTTCAGCAGGCAAGCAAAAGAAGAGAAGCAGTTTCATTTAAATAGACAGACTCAGAGCTCAACATAGCTTCAGAGCTGCAGAGCTTAGTTGCTACACCTAAGCTACCTCTAGTTTCAGTTTCCAAGCAGTTCTCATTGGCTGACTTAGTTGCTATGCCTATTCATTGGTTGACCTTGTTATCAAGCTCTATTCCAGTTCATGAATATACTCTGACATACTTGATATGGAATAAATTCTATGACTGGTTGAAGACAAAGGATAGAAGTTAGAGAAAGAAAACAATGAATGTTTTTTGTTAAAAACAGATGGTTTGTAACCACAATATTATATGATATAAGTATTCTTATTAGAAACTGGGACTATTTTTATAGTACTAGCTATGGTTCTTATTCTTTGTAAATAACAGACTCCGACAAAAATTATTCAATATGTCTTATCTATAAAAATTAAAAAAGAAAGAAAGAGAAAGAATGAAAGAAAGAAAGAGAAAGAATGAGAGAAAGAAAGAAAGAAAGAAAGAAAGAAAGAAAGAAAGAAAGAAAGAAAGAAAGAAAGAAAGAAAGAAAGGGAATTATTGAATCATTTTAGCAGAATATTTAAAGGAATGTGTATACCAGAATTAAATATTTTCTGTCAGTAAACAGAGACACAAAAGAAATGGTGTCTTATTTTTTATATGTATTTAATTCAGTTCTACTAAAACTTATTGAAGTATTCCATTCTGTATCTATTCCAGATATATTCTAGTTTTCAGCTAGGTGAAAACTTGCTAAAATTATCTAAAAACCCATCATTAAAAAAATATTACAGACTTGTATATATTTATGGTGCTAGGATATCTATTTTTGGCACTACTATATTTTTATAATTTTAATTTCTTTTTTATTCAATTTTTTATTTTATTATAAATTGGAAATTAAAGGAAGAAAAAGGAGTGGGGAAAAGGGGTTATGAGGGAGAAAAAAGAAAGGAAAAAAAGACATTGATTTCTTACTCTTAGCACAGTACAAGATAAAAACTCTATCTTCAACTTTTTGCTTTTACACTATAACTAAAATGCTAGACTTTTTTTAAACACTTTTTAAGTCTAGTGCTTCTTTTTCCTTTGACTGCTTAACATACAAGCTTTAAACCTCAGTATTGCATTTAATTCCCTCCCTTCAAACTACACTTACAGAATAATAATTTTTTTCTCTTATAACCATCCTTTTTAACACAGAGAGTTTTTCTTTAAACTGATGCATCATTTTAAAAAATTTTTGTCTTAATATGGGAACTCTGAAATACATTTTCAATAACCCTGCTTTAGGTTAGGTTACTTTGCCTACTTTAAGAATTACATTTTCAAATTTTCAATTAAACCTTTCTGTCAGTTACATATATAAAACAAAGAAAAATCCATCCTAATTCTAGTTAACTCATTAAATTTAAGGCTCTACTATATTTTTGATATCCTAAAGCTGTTCTCAATTACACACACCTTAAATTATATTTGAAATTTGGATTTAAAAGTATCTTATTAATTACCATTAAAAAAACTTCCATTTAGAAAAATACCTGGATGTATGCAGAAATATTTTCTGTAGTTCTTTGTCTTTCTGCAGCATAACGTTTAAAATTCTTTGAACTATTTATTTTGCATTTGGAATCCAAAATATGCTTTTGAATGATACAGGTGTTACTGGTATGATTTTTCCTCAAGATCCTTTCAGCTAATTCACTGAAATGCCATTTTTTATCCAATCCACTGATTTGCTGCTCTAAAAAATATATTTCTGAATTACTATTAGCACCAACTAGCATTGCTATGCAGTTCTCAAGTAAAATAATTCCATTCTCATATATATGTCATTAGATATTATACTTTTCTGTATATTTGATTCTTTTTATTTTTACAGGTGAAAGTTGCAATCCTTAAATACATAGAGACACTTGCACAACAGATGGATCCAGGAGATTTTGTAAATTCAAGTGAAACTCGTCTGGCGGTATCTCGAATTATTACTTGGACAACAGAACCCAAAAGTTCAGATGTTAGGAAGGTATTTTAAATTATGTTAACATTAAACTTATTTTTTAAGAACTTTCATTTATCATTTATTGTAGAGAATTCTACATTAATATTTTAATTTCAATAATGATATTGATTATCCATAATAATTTTGAAAAAAACTTTCATACGTTTGTTGATTTTTGTGAAGGACAATAACCAAGCAGAATATATATATATATATACCGTGTTTCTCACAAAATAAGGCCGGGCCTTTTTTTTTTTTTTTTTGACCCCCGAAAAAACAGCTCGGCTGTCTTTTCAGGGTTGACTTAATTTCCCCCCCCTTGCATACTCGGGTGGGTGGGCAGCGACAGCTTGGATGTTGACCTCGGCGTTGGTGGTGCACTTCGTATCAGGAGACCTTCCGCCACCGTTGCTTTCCCTTCTCCTGTGCTGCCGCAGCGTTTAGACCAACGCCGCGGCGTTTGGCACAGCCACGTACAGCCAGCCAGGGCTCCTCCCTGCAACCAGAGCCCAGCGGAGACACTCGGCTTCAGGCGCTCCTGTCGCAGCCTTCCCTTCGCCTTCGAAGGCAAAGCCAATTCTTTTAAAAACGACGCTCTACTACTGGTACGACAAAGCCTCTCCTGCGCGAGAGGGCAGCCCAACCCCACGTGGGGAGGCAAATCTCCCGGGGCCACAGCGCAGGTTCGGCCCACCCCGGGAGAAGCACCCAGCCGCCAGGCAGACTATGAAGAGCTTCGCCTGGGGCGCCCAGCGCAGCTGACAGGCGGGCCCTCCTGCCCGGCAGCAGAGCTGTCGCCAAGGCAGCGAGCGCCTCCCTGCCGGACCCTCCACTCATCCCGCCAGGGCCGCGCCAGAGCTGTGCGGGCTGGGCAGAGCCGGAAAAGTGAGCTGCGGGTGCGCGCGCGCCCACCTGCCAAGCAAAAGAGCCAGGCCGACCCGAGGTTGGCTTCCTTCCCAAGTCCCTCCAGCCCGAACCCAAAGGGGCCACTGGGAGAGGCCGCCCAAGGCAGTTATAGTGCCCACCCGTCCGCGGACAGGGAGGTGAGGCGACGGCAGCGCTGCTTCCCTGGCCGGCGGGTCCGGTGGAGAGAGCCCGAAGCCGCCCATCCTTTCCACCCCTTGCCCATCCCGTCCCCATCCCCATGCAGCTCCAAATGCGCCGGCAGCTCCAAACGCTGCAGCGGCATGGGCATCGGGCAGAAGCACTGATTCGGTGGTGCTCAGCTCGGAGGAGGACGCGGCGCAGGCCGTCGCCTCCCCTCCCTGTCCACAGATGGGTGGGTGCTATCACTGCCTCGGGCGGCCTCTCCCGGTGGCCCCTTCGGGTTCGGGCTGGAGGGACTTGGGAAGGAAGCCAAGCTCGGGTCGGCCCGGCCCTTTCGCTTGGCAGGCAGGCGTGCACCCGCGGCTCGCTTTCCCGGCTCTGCCCAGCCCGCACGGCTCTAGCGTGGCCCTGGCAGGATGAGCGGATGGCCTGGCGGAGGGCACTCGCTGCCTTGGCGAGAGCTCTGCTGCCGGGCAGGAGGGCCCGCCTGTCAGCTGCACTGGGTGCCCCAGGCAAAGCTCTTCATGCTCTGCCTGGTACCAGGCAGGGATGGCGGCTGGGTGCTTATCCCAGGGTGGGCCGATCCTGTGCTGCAGCCCCGGGAGATTCACCTCCCCACGTGGGGTTGGGCTGCCCTCTCGGGCAGGAGAGGCTTTGTCGTACTGGTAGTAGGGCGTCGTTTTTAAAAGAATTGGCGTTGCCTTTGAAGGTGAAGGGAAGGCGGCGACAGGAGCGCCTGAAGCCGAGTGTCTCCGCTGGGCTCCGGTTGCAGGGAGGAGCCCTGGCTGGCCGCACGTGGCTGTGCCAAATGCCGCGCCGTTGCTCTAAATGCCGCGGCAGCACAGGGAGAAGGGAAAGCAACGGTGGCAGAAGGTTTCCCGATACGAAGTGCCCCACCAACGCCAAAGTCAACGCAGGCAGCACCATATCTGGGTATGCAACAAAAGTACTTTCTAACGGCAAGCCCCCCCGCCATTTCCCCCATTTCGCATGTTTAATATAAGCCTTAATTTGAGGGCAGGGGCTTAATTTGATTTTATGCCGATAAAACATGCTGGGACTTCCTATTGGGGGAGGCCGTATTGTTGGAGAAACACGGTATATATACATGCTCAAAAAAATAAAGGGAACACTTAAACAACACAGTGTAACTCCAAGTCAATCACACTTCTGTGAAATCAAACTGTCCACTTAGGTAGCAACACTTATTTACAATCAATTTCACATGCTGTTGTGCAAATGGAATAGACAACAAGTGGAAAGCATAGGCAGTTAGCAAAACATCTCCAATAAAGGAGTGGTTCTGCAGGTGGTGACCACAAACCACTTCTCAGTTCCTATGCTTTCTGGCTAATGGTTTGGTCACTTTTGAATGCTAGCAGTGCTTTCACTCTAGTGGTAGCATGATTCAGAGTCTACAACCCACACAAGTGGCTCAGGTAGTACAGCTCATCCAGGATGGCATATCAATGTGAGCTGTGGCAAGAAGGTTTGCTGTGTCTGTCAGCGTAGTGTTCAGAGCATGGAGGTGCTACCAGGAGACAGGCCAGTACATCAGGAGACATGGAGGAGGCTGTAGGAGAGCAACAACCCAGCATCAGGACTGCTACCTCCACCTTTGTGCAAGGAGGGACAGGAGGAGCACTGCCAGAGCCCTGCAAAATGACCTCCAGCGGACCACAAATGTGTATGTGGCTGCTCAAACAGTCAGAAACAGACTCCATGAGGGTGGTATGAGGGCCTGATGTCCACAGGTGGGGGTTGTGCTTACAGCCCAACCCCGTACAGGACGTTTGGTATTTGCCAGAGAACACCAAGATTGGAAAATTCACCACTGGCGCCCTGTGCTCTTCACAGATGAAAGCAGGTTCACACTGAGCACATGTGACAGACGTGACAGGGTCTGGAGACACCGTGGAGGATGTTCTGCTGCCTGTAACATCCTCCAGCATGACCGGTTTGGCAGTGGGTCAGTAATGGTGTGGGGTGGCATTTCTTTAGGGGGCTGCACAGCCCTCCATGTGCTCGCCAGAGGTAGCCTGACTGCCATTAGGTACCGAGATGAGATCCTCAGACCCCTTGTGAGACCATATGCTGGTGCGATTGATCCTGGGTTCCTCCTAATGCACGACAATGCTAGACTTCATGTGGCTGGAGTGTGTCAGCAGTTCCTGCAAGATGAAGGCATTGATGCTATGGACTGGCCCACCAGTTCCCCAGACCTGAATCCAATTGAGCACATCTGGGACATCATGTCTTGCTCCATCCACCAATGCCACGTTGTACCACAGACTGTCCAGGAGTTGGGGGATGCTTTAGTCCAGGTGTGGGAGGAGATCCCTCAGGAGACCATCCGCCACCTCATCAGAAGCATGCCCAGGCATTGTTGGGAGGTCATACAGGCACGTGGAAGCCACACACACTACTGAGCCTCATTTTGACTTGTTTTAAGGACATTACATCAAAGTTGGATCAGCCTGTAGTGTTTTTTTTCCACTTTAATTTTGAGTGTAACTCCAAATCCAGACCTCCATGGGTTATTAAATTTGATTTCCATTGATTATTTTTGTGTGATTTAGTTGTCAGCACATTCAAATATATATATATATTCACACATATATATATGGTATTCAACTTTGTTTGGGTATTTTCCCACGTCATTATAGTTGTGCTTTTAAAATTGTAGCAACGTTTTGGCAGAATCTCATCTGCCATCATCAGGCTTCTGTATTGTGTTCGTCTGTGAGTCAGATTTTCACAGCCGTTTCAGTTTTAAATTTGGGGCTAGCCTACTGCTGTGCCAGAAGGGTTTTTTCTTCATCCTGATTGGTTGGGAGTCTTGGTCTGTGTTTATTGGTCTTGGAATTTGCTGTGTTCTGCTTGATTGGTGTTTCTAATATCTTCTGTCTGTTTTGTGGCTTTTTTTGTCTTGATAGGCTGGCAACATTGTGTTCCTGTATTGGAGGCTTTTAGTGCAACTTGGCTCCGAGTAAATGGATGGCTATCATTTATTAGGAAGCTAGGTTTTATCTGGGTGCCTGGTTGGGGTGTGTTTGAGCTGGAGGTATCGGGGGGGTCTGTTTGTGCCCAGGTGTTTGTTTGGCTTGTGGTGTGGATATTTTTTTGTTTGTGAGTGCAGGCTTCCAAATAATTGACAGTCTGGTGGAATCATCTCTTCTATTCATGCTTTCAGGTCTTTTTTCAGTCTCTATGGCTTCTCTGATAATTCTGTGGCTGGGGTTTTCTATAATGGTTAGGATTTTGGTGCCATTGAAGTCGATACTATGACCTGTTGCTTTTATGTGTTGGACTAGTGAGGAAGTGTGTTCCAGCTTTTTTACTGCATTTTTGTGTTCATCCAGGCGGGTACTTATTCTTCTATTGGTCTGTCCAATGTATGTGGCAGGGCATGATGCACAGAGGACTTCATATATGCCTTGGTTTTCCAGGTCAATTTTATCTTTGGGGTTTCTTAGGATGGCTGCTATTTTTCTGTCTGTTTTGAAGGCAGTCTTGATGTGATGCTTGTGTAGTATCTTACTGATTTTGTCTGTAGTACCTCTTATGTAAGGCAGGACAGCTGTTCCATAGGTCTGTTCATCTTCTGGGTCTCCATTATGTCTCAATGTGTTTTTGTGGATCAAGCCAGTGATTTTGCTTTTGTGAAAATATATATATATATTACTTGTCACTGCTTGAAGTTGCCTCATTTGGATGTAGAGTTATAAAACCTTGCCTATAATTTTAGACATTACTCTTTATATTATGTGGCTTTCATAAAAGCGGGGATAACATAGAGAACACTTCAGCTATACATTGATTATCAGAATCTGGTAGCATATACGTGATTAAAAACTCAATCTCTAAATAAGTTGCAGAGGCAGTGCCTATTGCCTCCCTTCTTGAAATGTATGCCTCTGCCAGGTTCCGGTTTGTCAGGCTTTGGAGGCAGCAGGAATTCGCGTTTGTGCGCGATCCCTGCTGCACTCGCTGCCGGAGTGCCTTCGATCCAATTGGATTGGGAGGCTATAGTTATCCTGTAGGGATAACTGAAGAGAGGGGAGATCTGGGCAGGGGTCTGGGGATATCGCACCCCCCTTCCCCAGCCGGCTTAACTCCCTTTTCCAAAGGTGGTGGAGCGGCGGTCAGCAATGGCCGCCACAAAGAACCTCTCAGCCGGACAAGTTTTGTGCAGGAGGAAATGAAGAAAGTGAAAGCTTTTGGCTGAACCGGGACGACAATCAACATCTGAATACCCTGGAACTTTGGCTCTTTAAGTGATATATTGTTTCCCAGAAGATCGTAAAGCTGCGGTGGAAAGTAAAAGGGAAAGCTTTTTTTTTCTCCTCACTCTCCTTCCCTACGGAGACAGCAGATGGAAATCGGAAATACCCGCTTTGGCAGCAGAAGGTACTAACTTTGAAAATTAAAGCCAAGGGGACATTAGATTTCTAAACACTGACATTTAAAAATTAAAACTCTTTTTGCTTTAAGTGGGAAGGAAGAGAGGTAAATGATTTATACCAAGGTTTGTTGAAGGAGATTGCTTGGAGTTTTATAAGATCAGAGATTAAATTGCAATAAAACTTCCAAAAAATACCTTGGAATTGTGTAATTGAATTCTACCCCAGGAAGAGAAAGTAGAAGAAAGTGCTAAATGAAACAGACTGTGCTGATTGTGCTGACTTTGATTGCTTGATGACTTTGGGACTTTTGTGAACTATCTTTTGAAAGACTAAGAAAACATTTGGATTGTTTAAATTTTTTTTCACAATGGTATCTGTTGAAGAACTGAAAATACAATTTGAAAAGTTAAGAGAAGAGGAAGAAGAAGGCAAGGGCTCCTTTGGATCTATCCTTCGCTTCTTAGAAATGGCAATTTCTACTTATCAGGAAATGCAACAAGAAAAAGGCTGGGATGATGAAGAAGAAGCCATCTTTAATGGACATATGATTTTAAATGAGAAAGAAAATGGTAAAAAGGAAAAGAAAATGGAGAATTTAAGTTCTAAAAAAACAACCAAGAAAGGGAAAAATAAGGTGAAAAATCGATATAATGTCAGAAAGCAACAGAAAAGAGGAATACAACAGAGAGGGGAGACTAAAAGGCTGGAGATTGAGAGGGGGGGTAAAAAGGCTAGATTTGACAAGGAAGGAAGGGAAAAAGTGAAGGGAAGTTATAAAGGCTTAAAACAAGATGCTAATAAACAGGCTTTTTTCAGAGATAAAGGGTAAAAAGAGATTCTGCAAAAGTACATAAGATTGTATTGTAGTATTTGTATTTGAAATAGAGTTAGAAAATTGGAATAACATATGTGTTAATAGAATATTGTAGGGAATGTGTAAAATGTCTAAGATTTAATTAATAGAGTTTAATTAATTAATTTGTTATGGAACATTATTTTTAATATACTATAAGCTCATTATGTTTTATATTTTAAAATGTTATGTAGAATGTACTAAGCAGAATCAGAATAGAAACTATGTATTATTTTAAGTGTTAAATTTGGGGGAAAGATAGAAAGGTGTCAATACTTCAACCAGTAATTACAGGAAAAAGTTTGTGTTAAAGAGAAAAGATAAATAGATAATTGAAAAAGAACGGACAAAAGATACAAGTATAATGATTTAAATTGAGATTAAATAAATAAAATAGAATTAAGAGAGTGAAAAGAGGGGAGAAGACATATGGAAAATATATAATGTTAAATAAGATATGAAATAGTATATAAGGTGAGCATGAATTTGATTTATGTCTGTACAAAAAGTTATAACCCGGGGTTAAGCCGCTTTCTAAAAAGAAGTTTTATGTTTTTATGTTATGTATTTTGTTTGCTTATGTTTGTTTATCGAGGATTAATGATGTTGGATAAGAACATATGAAACAGTAATAATACGAAATATAGTAATATGAAATACATGAAAGTATAAGTTTAATGAATAAAATTGAACAGAAATAAAGGAAGAAACTGAGAAGTTGGAAAAGAGTAATAAGATATGAAGTTGAATATATAAGATGCATATTAAATTGTGTGTGGAAACGTGATAATTTAGAATTATGTTGTACTTAAATAAGATGTTTTATTTGTTTTGTTAAGCAGTTTTTAGAAAAGATGTTCTATGTTCTTATGTTTTATGTTTTGTTTGTCTGTGTATTGTCTTTGAAAATTAATAAAATTTATTTTTTTAAAAAAATGTATGCCTCTGCTTGTGCTACAAGCACAGCTATTCAGAAGAGAATTTGGTTACTAAGTGGAATGCAGAAAAATATTTGATTTTACTTGTTGGGTCATTCTGTTGTCACTGTTAACCTTTGTCATTGACTTATCAGGTCATATCCTAGGAACTAACTAAATATACAGACCTTCTGAGATTGGTATAATTAGAAGGGCTGTTTTAAAAACTTGCTCAATCCAGGCAGTCAATAGTGATTGGAACATTCACTGCATTCCACACCCCCAATAAAATGTTGCAGTTGGAATGCATCTGGAGACTAGTGTACATCTTTCCTGTATGTGTCTAGTTCCCAAGATCCATTAAATGACAGGTTTGAAAAAGTTTGAGGTTAGGATCTAACAAGCCTAATACAGATTATATGCATATCATGGTTTAGTATGGTATATCAACATGGACTACACTTCCCTAATATAAGCTAGCAAAACACCTATTATATGCTCTGTGTACACCATCGGATGTCATAAGGAGATGGCTTTATTGACACAACTTGCAGAGGTTTCTGATATCTGATTTCCTAAAAAGCTGAAAAACAAATACACAAGACTTTTTTTAGTGCTGCCCAGTATGCAGTGAAACCCAGTCCATTTATTTTGGCCAAATCCTGTAAGTATCTTTTAAGGCTATCATTGAAAATAAACGTACAGTAAGTGTTGATTTCAAAATTAGTGCAATATCAAATTCAAGGACTGAATTTATGTAACATTTTATAGAGAGATTTGTGTGGATCACCCCCTCCCAGAATTTAATAATTATTTTATTTACTTTATTGAAAGATCCCAAGAGGAAGAAAAAAGATTTTGTATGTAATTATATTTTAAACTTTCATCATAATTTTAGAATTTCATAATAAAGGAAGTATGTGTTATTGGAAGTCCAGGAAAGAAAAAAGAGCTTTGTTGAATGTGAATATATTTTACAATTCCATAATTAAGAAATTACCAACAATTGTCCTTCAAGTCTGGCTTAATTATTTTGTCATTTTCCTAGGCTGCACAATCAGTGCTGATTTCTCTTTTTGAACTCAATACTCCTGAATTTACAATGCTGTTGGGTGCTTTACCAAAAACATTTCAAGATGGTGCCACAAAGTTGCTTCACAGTCACCTCCGGAATACAGGCAGTGGGGGACAGGTATATTTATAATCATTTACAGTTGCTAGAGATAATTTCCATTAAACTATGCTGAATTAACACACACATATATATATATGTATTTAGTAGCCCTCTTTTATTATTGTCATTTTTATGTTAGTTTTCAAATGGGAACTTTGAGTCTTTATTCTAGAAAAATGCATGAAGCCTTCTTCAGAGATGTTTATATCATTGTAAGGATAAATACAACAATGCTCAAAAGACTCATGAGGAGCATGTATGTGTTTTACAGGGTCAAATGGGAAGCCCATTAACAAGGCCTGTTCCACGCTCACCCATCACTTCACCAACCAATACATCCCAGAACACATTATCACCAAGGTAAGATACTAAATATTAATTTAGAAACAGCACTGACTCTCGGCCAACAAAAAGCTTTCACTGATAAAGATGAATTTGTTTCCAGCAGAAGAGAAGGCAGAATGGCAGAAATTGTTTTTCCCTGCAGAATCAGCCATTTCACAGAGTTGTGCATTTAAATAACATTAAGGTTTCTACCAATTTAAATGCAAATCTGAATTAACTACAACATAATTCAAGTTTAAGAAAAATATAGTGACATAATATTTAAAACATTAATTCCACAAAAATCATATTTCTGCTTACCACATAATTCATTTATTTTGAAATGTTATGTTCAATTTTATATAGTTTGTAAAAAAACATTGTTTCTTTCCTTTTCTCCTTTTCTTTCTTTCATAGAACTACTTTCAAATATCTTGTTAAAAGAAAAATACAAATGTGTCTCATTATTTATCTGGTTACCCTTGTAAATCCCCATTATAAAAAGCAGATTATTTTCTTCCATACTTGCTCTTTTATGATCATATTTTATTTTTTAAGTATTAACCCCATCTTAAACTCTGTTACAATTGCTGCTCCTTGTCTAAATTTCTAATCTAGCAATGCTTTGCCACAGCTCAAAGAGAGACGTGTGTGTGTGTGTGTGTGTGTGTATTCATTAGAGAATCTTCAGTTGCTGAAATTAAAACTGCTTCAAAATATTTTCATTGCTGATATTTAACAGTGCATTTGATTATGATTCTGAAAATATGAATTCAGAAGATATATATAGTTCTCTCCGTGGCGTGACTGAAGCAATTCAGAACTTCAGCTTCCGCAGTCAGGAGGATATGAACGAACCTATGAAATGGGATTCAAAAAAAGAAGATGGTGATTCAGTAAGTATTATGGAAAAATCTGTAGATTGAGAAATTATTCAGGGTCCATACTGATATATGCACTTGGGTGCTTGTTTTTTTTCAGCCCATATACAAAAAAACAAAAGTTGCATGTTCTTTGAGGTAAACATTACCTGAAATAACTGGGAATTAACTCTAATAAAAAATATTGTGGAGACATAATTACAAGAGCAGTGAAGATAGCCCTAGACTTAAAATTGTTCTCATTTTGAACCTCTTTGTGCTGGTAAAATATTCCTTTATATGTTTACTTCTACTGGCAATATCTGTTGATATGAAAGAGGAGAGAGGGAGAGAATTTAAGGACAAACAAGCTTAAAATTGAAAAAATATATTTGCATCAAATGAATTTTAGAATCATAGAAAACTGAAAATCATAGAAAACAGAAAAAGACCTAGTACTCCTTCGAGAGTGACCTTTGAATTTATTTTTTTCTTCTTAATTTATGTATTATTATTATATTTTTTCTTAATTTTTGACAGATGATGAATAAATGTTTGTTTATCCCAAGCATGTTTAAACTTAGTTATTGGTGATTGACTCATTATTTCCACTGGAAGTTGGTTCTAAGATTTCACTACTCTTTCTGTGAAATAATACATTCTAACTTTATTTTTGAACTTACCTCCTGTAGGTTTGAAGTAATACTTCTACGTTCTTGATTTTTGATTAATACTGAAAATATTGTCTTCTAGAATCTTCACACCCTTAATATATTTAAAGGTTTCAATCATGCCCCCCGCTTTCCCTTCTGTCCTGCTGGCTGTATATATTTTTTCCTCCAATCTTTCTTGATACGTTTTGTCCCTCAGACCTTGCACCATTATAACTGGATATAGTATTCTAAAGCTCTATATAGTGGGGTTAGAACCTTGCTTTTCTTGCTGGTGATCCCTCTAGCAATGTACACTGTTTGCTCATTTTGTAGTCATCTGCTATGAGCATACCTAAATCATTTTCTTCTGTTGTTTCTTCTGCTTGTACCCCCAATATTCTGCCAGAGGATTGTTTTTCATTAAGTACATGATCTTACAGTTAGAAACATTGCACTACAGTTTCCACATTTTCCACAATTTGCCAGGAATACCAAATCAATTCTGTGTTATAGATACCCCCAGGAACATCAACTCTATTCCACACTTTGGTTTTATCAGTAAAAAGTCAAGCCGAGCAACTGCTAGCAATTTTTCTATTATATCACTTACAAATACATTGAAGGGGAAAGGGCCTAGGATTGAGCCTTGTGGTATAGCGCTTGTGACTGATCCCTTTTCAAACAGTGCTCCATTAATACTCTGGGATCTATCCCTGAGCCAACTTCTAATCCACTGAATCACCCAGCAGTTAAGCTCCAGCCTGTAAAGCCTTTTTGTGAGTTCATTATGTAGAACTATATCAAATGCTTTGCTAAAATCCAAATAGGCTATGTCCACAGCACAGCGTCACATTTGTGACATTTCTATGGACATAGCCTGTGGACATTTGTGATATAGTTTTTAAAAAGTTAATCAGATTAGTTTGACATGAACTGGACATGAACCGCCATCAGTAAAACAATGCTGTTTTGGGTCCGTTAAATTGTGTCCTTTTTTTAAAAAAGACTACAGCTACTATAGTTGTTAAGCTCAATAGCCTATACAGTTTCCATATTCTTTCCTATTCCCCTTCTTGTGGATAGGTACAATATTAGTTGTTTGCCAATCTTGGGAAACTTCACCTGTTAAAAAGACTGGTTAACCATTAACCATAATAACCTGGATGAAAAATTTTGAATACAATATGCAATCAGAAGATTGGGAAAGATTATGGACAAAAAATTATAAATTAACATTGGCAACCTCATATAAAGAAAATTTGTATAAAATGTTTTATCATTGCCATCTAGCACCCGTGAGATTGGCTAAAATTTATCCAAGCTTAAAATCAGAATGTTGGAAATGTAAAAAGAAACTCGGTACATTCTTTCACATGTGGTGGACCTGCCCAAAAGCGAAAGAATTCTGGAATAAGTTAAAGATCTGGTTACAGGAAATAACAAGTCTAAAGATACCTGAAATGTATTTACTAGGGATAATCACAGGAGAATATACAAAAGAGAATGAATGTTTAATGATACACATTTTAACAGAAGCTAGGATACTATATGCTCAAAATTGGAAATTAGATAATATATCCACAGATGACATGATTATAAAAAAAAAGTAATGGATTGCGCGGAAATGAACAAATTCACAATGGAATTGCAGGAGAGGGAAGAAAAAGAATACTATATGGCCTGGGAAAAATGGTATGTCTGGTTAGACAATAGAAAGAAAATATAATGCAAAAGTAGAAGCTTTAAAGTGTAATTGTAAATAGTGTATGTATGTACAGGAGAATGGTATAACTGATGTCACAAATAACTGCAAAAAATGTATATAGATATTGTTTTTAAAGATGAAAATTTAAGAAAATTTATTTTAAAAATAAAATAAAAAGACTGCTTAAACAGACCAGTTAACGGTCTAACAAGCACACCTAGAAGTTCCTTTAGAACTCTGGGATGAATACCATCAGGATCCATTGTTTTATTGTGTTTTACCTCCACCTCTAAAAACTTTGGGAAAGAAACTGCAAAGCTAGGAGTAGTATGATTCCCCCGATCAGATTTTGTTATTGGCATCATTGAGCAGAACAGATTAACAGAGTTGGAAGGGATCTTGTAGGTCATCTAGTCCAACCCAACACCCAAGCAGGAGACCCTACACCATTTCTGACAAATGGCAGTCCAATCTCTTATTGAAAGTCTTTTTTTTTTCAAATAAGTTTTTTTATTTTTCAATATAAACATACATATTTTGTGGGCATTGCATTGACTGGGTCAAATCTTTCTAAGCAACAGTAACAATAATAATACAAATAAATATGTGTAATTCTAATCTTCCAACTTCCACAACTTCAACAATGCTAGTCTCTTTTCATAATCCATTTCTCATTTTCCCATTAGTTTATTTAAATGTAAATAACATTTCTTTGCATCTTGTATTTATAGTCCCTAAATACTATTATTGTTTTTAAGAGTTATTCATAGTTCTACCATAACTTCAATATTCCAAATATGTAGGGTTAATAATAACGCCAAATATTGACAATATTTAATCAATCCCGGAAGTGCATCTCAAAATCCTACACAATTTCTAATCCTTAATATTTTAAAGTCATAATTATATATGCTATTTTCCGTATATATATCTTCCCATTTTATTGATATGTTTTCTCATTACCCATCATCTCTTAACCTTTTTAAGATTCCATCATTTATTTATTTTTTAATCAACATTTTCTCTCTCTCTCTCTCGGTATCTTGTATCTCTTTTGGATTTTTTTTTTTTGTACCTACTAAACTTCTCCTTCAGAGTACCTTTTGTCTCTTTCTTCTGTATTATTTGAACTCCCATCAACTTCTTTTTGGGTTTTTTAAAAGAATTTTTTTCCGTTTCTCTCTATTCTGTTATAAACTTTTAGGAGATTATATAATTGTCTTCTACTTATTAATCCTTTCTCCTCTTTATTGTTAACTTCTTGCGTCTCATTTTGATTTTTTCCTTCCACTTCTTTTTCTAACTTCTCACTATTTCTTGAATATCATATTCTTCTTTTGCCCAATTGTTGGGTAGCTTCTACATCCATTTCTGTATCTTTAAACAATCCCCTTGTCTCCTTATTGTCTTTTATAGATTCACACATATCTTTTAACATAAACAATGATTCTTCATATAACTCTATTGTCTCTTGGAAATCCATTTTATAAAACCCCTTATTTTATGATTTGCAGCCTTATATTTTCCCAATTATTTATCTCCCAATTGTCCAAATTTTGAAGTCTTATTTAGCTGTCCTTTTTTCTTTTCTTCTGGTACTTTTCTTTTTTTGTCTCATAGAATGTTCTATTGAGTAACATTAATAGTCCAAGTCCAAATTAAGTTCAATAATCCAAGTCCACACTAGTCCACTAGATTCCTCCAATATTTCAAGTCCATAATCCAAGCTGGATTTAATAAAATGTAGTTATTTGCAAATTAGTTCCTTGTATAAATCTTCCAAAGAGCAGGAAAAAAGGCTCAATAAGTGTTCTCAAATTATCCAAGTAGTCAACAGTAGAGTCAAGGTCAGGCCATCCTCCAGCTGTTATTGCTTCTGTTCTGTTCTGTGTACTAGGCTTTTTGTGTATTGAAATAACTTTCACTAAGTATGCTGTGGTTATAATGCTGTAGCACTTCTCTTCTTCCAGTAGATGGCTCTCTTATCCCAAATCCAATTTAAATAGTCTGTCAAAAACAGCTGATTATCAGATTAAATCCAGGTAGTTTAAAGATACAAATAAACAAGGTAATTTCTCCCAGAGGTTGTTTTTCAAATTATTTGAGCTTTTTCCAAACTTTCTGTATTTTATTAGCTTCTCTTAGGCTTTTTTCACCTCTTTGTTCTCAGGGTTTTTTTCTCCGTGTGTCAATTTGCTGTTATCTTAAGCTTAGGAGTTATCTTTTAATATTCTTGTAGTTACTTCAGATCTTTAGAGTAAAAGTTGGTAGTTATTTCACCCAGCTCCAATGCTCTGTCCATACACCACTCCAGCACAAATCTTGTGGTCCCGGTTGTCCCAGCTTCGTGACTGCCAAAAAATGGCTGATGTCCCTGCTGCCATTCAGGGAGCTCTTGCTTCGAACCTAATGAGAAAATTGCGGGTTCCTTGTGAAGTGCCTCTCCTTCCTTCACTGCCCCTCCAAGGTGGCTATGACTCCGTAGGGTCTCCCGACAGCGGTTACTGGCTGGATTTTGTGGGGCTCAACAGAGCCTATTTTCCAGCCATTCTTGTCCTAACTATTTTTGTTCCCACCTTCCCCTCTTTTCTGCAACCATTGATAAAACTTATTCCAAGTATCATAATATTCTGATTCCCCCATATTTTTCAGTTCTAGAGTTAGTCTATTCAGTTCTG